TTTCTAACCAATCTATATAAGTATTAGAATCTTTTTCAGTTGTTTCCGTCATGGTTTTCAAGTAAAAAATCTTATTTGAATTACAATATTACTCGATAATTTGAATATGTTTTAAATGGAAAATCCTAAATACAATGTTTATAGTACCACAAATTTTCAAAATTGCCACATGACCAAATTTGACTTTATTTATTCCGCAAACACAATTATGCAGTGATAAGAATTACTACAGTTCTAGATTAAATCACAACTTGCTAAAAATGTATATTTAAAGGATAAATATTCAATAAACATATTTTTTTTACGAAACACCGAAATGTTGTATTAACTAAAATCATAACGCACCAAATTTGTAATTTGTTGCACAAAGAGAGCGATCATTGGAATTTTAAATTTTGTAATATGTGATTTCAATATATATATATGTTTTGTTATAATAAAGTAAAATTCTATTATAAAAGAAGAGAAATTATAGTTTCATTTGAAGTGACTAATAAAGAAATACCAATTTTATAAGCTTTATATGAAAGAATTATATAGGCACCCCTTTTGTGTGTGCCAGGTTCGTGACGCAGTAAATTTTTAAAAAACATCATTAAGGATTTTTTCTTCCACATAAAGTTTTTAAACTCTTATTGTAGATGTAATTTCACCTGCTCTGCAAGTTTAATTAGGATTCGGAAGAAGGTTATGAATGCCGATTTCGACTTTACATATAAATGATTGATTCTACCGTCTTTGTCGATCGTTTCCAAAAATGGGTTTCGTGAAAGAAAAATTTTTGTTAAATAAGTCAATAATGATATCCTTTGTCGCTCTATAAGTAAACTTGAAGAGCAGCTAAAATTACAACTATCTAGTAATTTTTAAGTTATATGTTATTAAAAAAAAAAAATTTTCTCGTTGCTCCACAATCTGCTGGCTGCGCCACGAACCTGGCACACAAAAAAGGGGATGCATTATATAGTAAGTATTACGTCATAACCGTAGTTTTTACAATGATAGTGTTCCGGTCAAACCTGGGTTATTGACCCGTCTTGTATTTAGGGGTCGGGCTGTGGTCGCATGATTTGATGACCCGTAACCCGCATGAACTCGACCCAACCCGTCAAGTCGGGTTATACCTTTATTTTGACCCGGTGACCCTATTATATTTTTAACTAAAAATTTCTATATTAAATACAACTTGACGGGTCGAATCCGGGTTATCCGAGTCAGAGTATAATCAGGTCAAGTCGAATCCGAGTCATTATTTTGCGCTTGGGTCGAGTTCGAATACACCTTAAAACCCGATCCGACTCAACCCCTTCGGAACACTAAATGAAAAACTATATGATACAATAATTTATGATAATTAATCCATTCATATGTTAAAATTTTTTTAATCTGGATAATGTTTTTTTTAAAAAAAAAATTCCCGTGACTCCCAATTGGATGATTAGAAATTTCGATTAAAAACACTTTTTACTTATAGTCTTTTGACTTTCTGTGACGTCATTTATAGTTTCTTAGTGGACATAAAAATATCGCACAAAAAAAATTTGCAGTCCGAGTTCAAGTCGATCAAGCTGACCCATTTTAAGGACTTATAAGCCGGAGCTATAAATCTAGTGTTAAATCTACGTACTATAGGCTTATTATATTTATGTAAATTGAGCCAAAAATTTAAGTTTATATATCATCCACCGATGCATAATATGAGGTCATTTCCATGGGGTGTTTCGCTAATCCAGTTCCGGTTAATGAATTTTGATGCTAACGGAAAAAGTTTAGTAATACGCATTAATGTATTTTTTTATAAACATATACGTAAAATACAAAATTGTTTTTTAATGAATTTATTTCCGGTCTTCTGTGGCTCGCTCGGGACGGTGTGATGAGCTGTAGCAGTATTTCCGCAGGTATCAAAAAATTTTTTCAGTTTTTAGATCATTTTTTTTTATTTTAAAATCTCGTTAACCGATATTTTTTTCAAAAACTTTTTTTTTCAACTTTTTTTAAATCATTTTTTTTAAAAAAATTTTTTCCTTCATTCGGTTTAGTTTTTTTTTCTAAAACTTTTTTCATTTTTCTTTTTCGATTTGGTTTTTTTTGAGCCGAATTTTTTTAAAATTTTTTTCCTTTATAATCTATACTATATACAATTTTTTTATATATTGTTATATAGTACATTATTTATTTTTATTTTTTAGACTTGAATCTAGATCAGTAATCGGATTGACGCTGCGATGTTACGGTAAGCACCTTTTTTTCATCCTTATTTTCAATAATATTTTTTTCCTAATTATTCTTTTTTCGTTCTTTCACCCAGCCGAATGATGCTGCGGTGCTACGGCAAGCGCCTTTTTTTTCGATTTTTAATTTTAATATTTTTTTTTTCCGAATTATTTTTTACTAATTTTTTTCCCTATTTTTTTTTTTTTTATTCTTTCACCTTTGAGGTTTGGATCAAAGTCAGTACTCGAAATAAATATTTTTTTGGGAATTGTTAACCGTCACCTGGGTATTCAATCACGTGATAGATTTAATATTTTTGATTGGCCAGATTGGCCACATGATTGCGTCATGTTATTCGGTTCTTTCGGTCTCAAGGTATTTTTCTTTTCTTTTATTTTTATTTCTAACTTACATTCTGCTTACACTTTGTTTCTTATTACTCTATTTCATTATTTTTAGGTCCTTTAGTCCTTCCGGTTCTGCAATTAAGGTTCGGTTGTTTTTCACTTTACGTTTCGTTTCTTACTCATTTTTTTTATTTTTTTTTATTTTGTTTCTGTTTCATATTTCGTTTTTCACAAATTTTATTTCATTTTTTTTTTTAGATATTTTAGTTCTTTCGGTTCTACAATTAATAAAGGTATGTTTATTTATTTATTAATTTATTTTTCGTTTCTATCTTATATTTCGTTTCTTACTAACTTATTTTTTTTTACTATTTTTACTTGGTTTCCTATCATTACCCAACCTCCTATCATGATCATTTTTTTATTTTTTGTATTATTTCTCATTATTCCATCCTTCCGTCTCCCATCACTCCTCTTCGTCTCCCAGCATGTCCTATTTCTCCTTTTTGTTTCCTATCACTTCTCATTACTTTTTCATCTTCTATTACTCCATTGTTGTTTCATTTTTTTATTAGCATCTTTCTCCTTGATCATTGTAATTTACCTATCTTTATTATTTATTATTGTTGTTTTTTTATTTGTATCACTTCATTAAGAGTAAATACGGTGATTTTTTTCTTTAAAAAAAATTTTTTGCAAACATATTTATTCAAAATAATCTTATTTAATGAAATTTTATTTGCAATTATTAAAATTTAAGTCACACATTTACGATTTTAGACTTCGCGATCAAAAATTAGCTAAGTTAAAAAAATCAGCCATCAGCCAATTAATAAATTTACTATATACTATTGTACATCATGTGACATATTTGAAAAAAAACCCAGGCGAGGCGACAATTGCCCAGGCGACGGTTAGCAATCCCCCCTTTTTATTTGAATAAGTATGTTTTGTATGATTTTTTTTTAGTTGAAGCTGTATTACAAACGTAAACCATAATCGTTGCTAAATTTATTATGTGATTGGACCTGGATTATTACAGAAATCGTGGAAGATATAGAAGTTTTGATAGAAAAATATAAATCAGAAGGAGCAATTAAAAATTACAGAGGTGATTTGGTGTTGTAAATCTTAATTAATTATTTTTTTGTTCAATGTAAGGTATTTTATATAAATAAATTTATACTTTATTTAAATATTATCATCGTCTGTTTAAAACAAAAAATATTCATTATTGATATATGAACAAATATTGGTAATAGATTACTAAAGGTGAACGCTCTCCAGAATCCTTTTTTGTTTGGCGGATTAGTCATTCTGCTAAATATGTAGGCAGTATGACTTGGATTGACATATTGATACTAATTAGAGAAGCCACTATATTATATTTGCTCGTAAAATATAATAAATAGTGTAAATAAATAATTATTTAGCCTGATCATTTATTTTTAATTTATTTATTTTTTTTTTTGTTTGTTAATATTTGATTTTTTTCATTTTAATTAATTATTTTAAAATATTAAGAAGGAAAACGTAGTTTATAACATTATTATAACATTTACACTAAGACTTATATGGTACATTGGTACACCAGTATTGACAAATCTATCATCGCTTGTTCAGATGATCACAATTCCACTATGTTGTGAAATATTTATACTGTAGGTCTAGACTCATAGGAAGCAATATAATGATACATAAAAACTTTATTAAGTAATTAAGTTTTTATATTTATAATTGTAAAAATAGAAATAAGATTAAATAAAAAAGAAAATATTTTAATAGGTTACTATGAACGTGGTTCAATGGTTGTTTTTACGTACAAATAATTTAACTTATAAATTTAACTAAAAATCTTACTATATATATTAACTTGATTTATCCATCTTGTAGTCTTATACATAATTTATTGAAATTTTACTTACAGAATAAATAGAAAAAAACAGAACATTTCATTGGTCAAATTTCATATACGTTGAACGCATAACGCCGACCAATTGTGTTTGAATCTTTGAATCTATAGCGTTTCTCATTATTTTGCTTTTATCACATTTCTAACTAATTGAGTTGAAAAAAAAATCTACTGTTTTGAACATTTTTGAGATGTTTTTTAAAAAGATTGCTCAAAATCTAATAGTAAAAATATTCGTTTATCGAACAATGGTAAAATGATTGCGATATATTTTAGAGGTGATTTTCATTCTTTGTGTATACGTGGAATAAAATTTCAAAACCACCACAAACAAGTCATCATTTGCGACAAATATTTCCTGTCTATTACGAAAAAAATACCAAGAAAAATTATCAAACATATATTAAAATTGTCTTAAACCACGCACAACATATATAATAAGTCGGTACATAAATTCTTTATTTATTTAATGTACAAGCAACACTTACAGGATACAAAGTTAAACCCAAATATGAATTATCTTATTACAATACCACATGAGCATCAGCTAATACTTTATCTATAATATTTTTATAATCTCCCACTATAAGTTCAAACTTGTCAGATCTCAAACGTTCCATGGCCATAAAATAACGATGAGGGTAGTGATTATGAAAATATCCTGGGATGAAAGATTCAATTTTATCCATAGTACAATCTTCCGATGAATGGTTTTCATAATAATCATTATAGGATTCTATATTATGTTTACCAAGAATAACATTTAAAACATTATTTAATGTAATCTCACTATCTTCATAATCCTTCCTATCATCAATAAGTTTTTGTCTCAACAAGTCCTCCATCGATCCCAAGTTATCATCTACCTCATCATCATCATCATTATTTTTTTCACGAAAGACTATACCTTTAGGTTTATTGTTATCTAGAAAGAGATGAACTTTATAACCGATACTATAATAATTAAGGATGTCATCTTTCGTGATATATCGACGTAATACACCGTACAAATGTTGTGGTGGCATTTTAGTAACGATATCATTGGTATTAACGATTCGCCAAAGCGTTTTGTTTTCTTCAAAATTTTTGTGAAAGATGCCATTGAATGAAGATGCGAATTCTTTATCTCCTACGGCTGGTCCAGCAAAAACATAAGCGTCTCGTAACACACAGTATTCCGGAAGAGTACCAATCTTTATAAGCCTGAAAAACAAAAGAAGTAAAATTTAATACCCAATATATTTTTAACTTAAAAATTTAAAATCTGGTATAAAAAAAATCACCTTGCATAGAAAACCTGTGCCAAAGCCGCGCCAAGTGAATGACCAGTTATCCAAATGTTAACTTTTTTTTTGTTTCTCTCATGCATCTTTTTGGCTATATTACATATAGCCTCAACCATTCGTTTAGCAGGATAGCTTTCTTTAGTTTCATCCGAAGTTTTAGGGAAAAAATTATCATAAAAACCTTTATGAATCTCTCCAAACACGAATTGGCTTGCATCCACTCGCATAAAAAGAAAATCTGTTAACCACTCAGTAAAATTTGTTGGTGATGTACCTTTAAATGTTATAACAATGAAATTATTCTCTTGATTATTTTTATGTTCGGATAAATACATTCCAGAAAATAGAGAATCAGGACTGTTAAGTTCCGAGAGTGGTAGAAAATTAAACTTCAAATCTTTGGCTTTTTTATCGATATCTTCATACGCTTCACGACATTCATCTATAAGATCTTCGAAGTCATCACCCTCATGAATTTTTAATTTCTTATAAACTTCACGAACTTTATCAACTTTTTGGTCGTAGATGATGGTGCTTAGTATTAATAGAGTTTCAACCATATCGAGATTAAAGACTTTTGAATTACGATTGTTAGAACCTAATGCATTACGACCCTTTTGTACAATATCTTTTATATCATCTAATCCTTTTTTTGCAGTCATAAGATTCCATTTATCCTCATTATAGAGTTCGAAATCAAATATCTTAATCATCTTGCATATTTCTAAAATAATATTCACTGGAAAGAGTATTAAGGAAGTAATAAAAAAAGATAAGATCATGAACATAAAATTAAATGGTTGACTTAGTGGAAGCGTCAGATCTGTAAAAAGAGATAGTAAAATATGACTGGCCATAACATGAATAAAACGAATATATTCTAAAGTCGTTTTAAGTAATGAAAATATTTGTTTTTCCATAATAAATTCTACCCATTTTGATGGTCTTGGAATGTAAGATAAGTCATTTAAAAAATATAAGTAAAATTCTCTATCTTCCATTTCATTCATGACGTTTTTTTTTTTTTTTTTTTTTTTTTTATTATTACGAAAACAACTTTTATGGGGTATTTATTATTTCCCAGGATCAACATAGCATGCTATTACATAATCGACTATACTTAGTTGGCAATTTTTGATTGATGAACATTGCCAAGTATAGACGCCAATCTTAATCTGCATGTGAATTGTGAACCAAGAAATAAATTCATGTGAAACTGACTTCATATAGAAATAGACTGGACAACTGAAAATTGGTCTTTTCTCAAAAAAAAGACCGGATCACCAGAACACGTGCCAATCGTACCATTACCAAATTAGCAATTAAAAGAAAGCAAAAGCTTGACAACTATATATTTACTGTATAAATATTGAATTGAACAATATCTTCCACTAAATTCCTAAACATTGTTTATTTAATAAAATTAATTTTCGCTTTTTATTCCAAATAAAAAAATAACTTACGTAATTGACGATCAAATGATTGCTGTTTCCATAAAATTATATTAACTTTTAGATAATAATTCTGGTAAATAATTTCTGAGTACAATATTTATTAGTATTATGAAAGATATATCAAGTAGCCTATTACTATTTCCGATCTCTTTTAACTCCTTCGTTTTCACCTAATGGCTTTAATGTTTCACGATTTGAAAATTTGATTGAAAAATATATAATTTTAACGTTTTTAATTTTTTAAAATAAATATTTTTATGTATTTAAATCTTTATATATGAATTATTTTTTAAATATGATGTTCAAAGAATTTTATTTGACAATTTTATAACAAAATTATTATATTCTAAACATAAAAAAATGACGTTTGTGAGTATAGCAGAATATTTAAGTTTATTATATAATTATCATCAAATTTAATAATAATAATATTAGTACAATGATTTTTGTACGCCTAAAATTTCATTTTATACAAATTTTCTGCCTTGACTATTTTGATTTATTAATGACGCATATCAGTGAATCGGAAAAATACAATACTTTATTAGCCCGAAAAAAAATTAATCTAGTGAATCAAATATCTCTGATAAAAATACTGATATGGTAAACACAAATAATTGTTCGTATTACAATAAACCTTAAGCTGAAGAATTATGGTGTAAAGAATGTATTAATTCTTTAGAAAAATTAGCAAAAAATGGTGATAAAAAAGCAATGTTTAATTTAGCTAAATGTTATCATGGTGGAAATGGAACAGAAAACAACTTTGAGGAAGCCTTCTATTGGTATCAAAAATCAGCAGAAAATGGTTATACTTATGCAATGTTTAATTTAGCTTACAGTTATAGTAATGGAGAAGGTAATTTAGCTAAATGTTATAAAAATGGAAAAGGAACAGAAAAGAATTTTGAAAAAGCCTTTTATTGGTATCAAAAATCAGCAGAAAATAGTTATACTTATGGCAATGTTTAATTTAGCCATATGTTATACATGTAAAGGTTCAAGATGTCTTTTCAGTATTTGTCTCTAAACAACTCCATGTATAAGATTTTCGTATTACGTAAAGCAGACAACCTAAGCTCGTTAGTGTTTGTTAAATGAATGAAACTTTTATTTTTAATAATGAAAAGAAATATAAATTCAATATTACTAAACTATAGTAATAAAAATTAACCATTTACTATATTATTTATTAGTATATTGCAAATTCAAAATTTTGGTTACCAAAATTTTTAATGCTAAAAAAATCCAAAAAATATTTATTAAAGTAGGTCGAATTTTGTTCAAAAATTTATGAAAAGATTAAAACCAAGTTGATAAAGGATGTGGTTTTATTTCTAATTCAATTATATTTATTCATTAAATAAAGTACAAGTGTGCAACTAAATAAAAAAATTGTATAATTAATTTATAAAACAACCAAATATTATATATTTAATGTATTAAGGTATGGAGTACTTTATAAAAAGTGGAAAAGAAAATTAAGTTTAATTCTGGCCTTGAAGATTAAAAAAGAAAAACATGAATATAGTTATAGTTATTCAAGATTAAAAAAAGGTGGTGTTATCCTTTTAATAAATAGATTTTATAAATGATTATTTTAGTCCTCTATCTATGTAAAATTAGTTTACGATTTATCAGACAAAAGTTTTTTTATTGATTTAGATTAAAATTATTTTTTATATATCATTCTTAAAAATAATTTCAATATTTTACATGATTCTATTTATGACGGTATTTACAAATGGCAATTTATTGAAAGAAAAATACGGCTATTTTGGTAGTCATTTATTTGCGGGTAGATGCTATGGTAAAAGGGCTGGAGACGCTAGCCGAGACACGAGTTGCCTGGCTTGATTTCATTTTGGGTTATAAAGTTCAATTTTTAGTTCCGAGAAGTTCTATATTAGTACACTTGCCTTTCTTTAAATTTTTTTTTTTTTTTTGATTGGTTTCGTTGCTGATGTGTACAAATGAGAAAAATTCTTAATAATTAACCAGAATTAGAAGTATTATGACGTATTTGTCATCCTTATTTCGGATCATATTTTTCCGATTCACTTGGAAGGATAAAATGATCGGCAATCAATTTTCAGACGCAATTTTGATGAACCGAAGCATAAATTTATGGTGAAATCAACATAATTTCAATTTATCTCCAAAAAGGAATATTCCGTTACTCTTTTACTAGAAATTTTTGTATTAAAATTACTGGGCTTTAAAATGATTTTGCGTTGCGGATTCTTAGTTTGTGTCAAAATAAATAAGTGTGTCACGTGACGCATAAATCAAGAATTTGTACAATATGAAACATGTGTAGCATATCACAAAATGATTTACAATAACACTATATATAGGCAAAGTTACAGCCGAAAAAAAAAAAATTATTTTTTTCATTTTTTTCATAACTGGTCGGAATTAAGAAAATTCTAACCAAACGTCATAAAAAAATCTAAGAAAATAAAATTCTGACCGGAACTATAACAAAAATGTCCAAATTGAGCATTGATATTTTTTACTTGATATTTAAAGAATTTCTAAATGATAAAAAGAATTTGTATTCATGTCTTTTAGTTAATAAAACATTTTGTGAATTAATTATTCCTATTTTATGGAATAATCCTTGGAAATTCTTAAAATTGGGGAAAGAAAATTCATTATTATATGTTATTACTTCACACTTATCAGATGAGTCAAGGAATAATTTATGTCGAGATATATTTAATCATTCGCATGAAAAAGTAAAGAAACCTTTATTTGACTATATTAGTTTTTGTAAACATTTAAATTTAGGTATAATTCAAAATATAATTGATGCTGTATGGATTAAAGGTGAAGCAACAAATGTCAAAAATAAAATATTCAACCTTTTTATTAATGAAAATATGAGAATTTCACACCTTTATATACCTTATAAATTTGATATTCAAATACATCATATTCCTGGAGCCAAAAGCTGCTTTTCAGAAATTGAATTTCTTAGTTGTAACACTAACATAAAAGATAATATTGTAACTGGATTAATGGAAACATGCAAATCTATTAGAAAATTGGAACTTATTATCGAAACAGGAAAAAATAATTATAAGATTGTTGAATTAATCAAATCCATAAAAAAATTATATAGTATTAACTTAATGTGTTATTCATACGAAAGTGAATCATTTTGTGAAACTCTTGAAAATTCATTGATTAAACATGCAAATACCATAAAATATTTTAAGACAACAAAACGTCCTAGCACGAATATACTTTCATATTTTATTAATTTAAGAGTATTAGAGTTAGATAGTTTTCATTATATGCCATGGAATTGTTTAGAAAATTTATCTTTACCATTCTTAAAAATCTTAAAAGTCAAACATGTTCTAACAGATAATTTAACAGGTTTAATTGAAAATACAAGTGGAACTCTTATTGAAATAAGTATTACTTGGCGAATATGTCATAGTAAGATTAATTATAAGAAAATTATTCAGGCTATATATCAAAATTGTCCAAATCTTAAGTATCTTAAATTAGTGATTAAAAAAAAAAATATTATTGATCTAGAAAAATTATTAATTCAATGTCAATATTTAGAAGGATTATATCTTGTTATTGAAGATAAAGTGGATGAATTTAATTTGAACAATTTATTCAAAGTATTGGCCAATTCATCACCAACTAATTTGTTTAAATTTAAATTTTCTTTTTTTGAAATTAAATTTAATTCTTTGAAATTATTTCTTGATAATTGGAAAGGTAGACATCCCATGTTATTACAATTTGGCAGCGATCAATTGGATGAAATAAAAGATTTGATAGAAGAATATAAATCAGAAAGAATAATTAAAAATTGTGATTATAATTTTCATGATGAAGAATTTGAATGGTCTAATTAATTTATTGATCTATTCTGCAATATAGATTGATGATAAATCAGAATATCATAAGAGTTGCTAAATGAATCACAAACAAATATTTAAATGAAGTGCGTTCTTTTACTATATTATTTCTTTTATATTATTTCTTATTAGTTTATTGTATTACTTTAGCCTTCATGAGAATAAATTGGACTTTTCGTTATTATGAGGTATTAAAAGGGAATTCATTTAAAATATATAAACATTAAGTCATGTAACATATTTTACTTGATAATAAAATTTAATAATATTTTTTGGGATTTGGGACACGTGATTTTATTACATGGTGTAAAATTAATGTTATATTCTTTTTTAGTAGCACCGACTAAGATTTTCGGAGCGCAATATGTGGCAATATTTTTTTGTTTATATTAATTATTATCTGTTATTATAATGTAATTATTTTTAATTTTTTTCTACGCTACCAAAAATGTTCGGTATATATTTTATTTATTACTTTTTAAAGAATTTGTCAGCGGATGGGCGTTATAAAATCGCAATTATGATAAATGTACTTATGTTGAGGAGGTAATTTAATACTTCTGATTGGAATGGAATATAGCCTTCAACCGAATAGCACCCATTATAATGTAAAACGTATATTGATTACATTAAACGCAAAGTGTAAAGATAATACGTAAGGATTTCATTTATCTGAATTTTATAGTATCACAGACCTTTACGATCATATATTTATCTTCTTCAGGCATGCATTCCAGTTATTTTTTAAATTTGAAAAGCAATATTAAGAACTTTAAAGATTAAAAAAAATTTCACTTCTTTTAACTATAAATGAACGGTATTTTTGAGTTTTGATCTTAAGAAAGTTTATGATTATTGGAAAAGTTAAATCATTAAGGGTTATAAAAGTATCCTTTTAGTTTTGTATCCTTTTTTTAAAGAATATAATATCTTTAATTGATATTCAAGTTTGGATGAATAATTTATAAATATAGTCATATAGGAGAAATTTACACTAATCATTTTCGGATGTGAATTTGTTAAATGAAAGTTATTCAAAAAGTTGAATATATTCCAGACCGTTGGATGTATTAATTTTATTTTCTGGCAAATAAATTTAATTTTCTATAATTTGGAATAAGTTTGATCTTAATGCATCTTGATTTTTATCCTTAAAGAATAAATCCTAAGAGCGGTTGAAAACTTTAAATGAACTTCAAATAAAGACTATTTTATGAGTATTTATAATATATTAATTTATTTATTATTAATAACATCTAATGATAACTTAATATATGTATATAAAGTATATTAGTAAAGAATCACGTACTCGTTACTATAATACATTATTATTTGGATCTGGCATAATATAAAAGTTCAAGCTTGCTTATCCTGTTAGTTGTTAGAAGCATCATGTAGTTAATATCTGTCGAAAACTATCTGAATATCTGCAGTTTACGGTAGATCATTAGAATTACCATTATTGCCTTCTCGAGATGAGCCTGACGAGTCCGCTAGGGATGAGATGCTGTAAGGAATATGTTTATTACTATCCATGGTTTATTTGAATAACGTAATTACTTTGATATTATTATATCCAAGTGTTGAAACACCATTCTTTAGTTGTAGCAGCCTTCGTAGGAACTGAAAAATAGTGACTACTTTGCCATCCTTGAGCATGCCCTACAAAATTCAAATAATTAAAGAAAAAAATTTACTGCGAGTAAATTTGTGTAACAATACCAAGTCCTTCCATGACATCCCAAAGTGAACAATTTTTGAACTTTGGAAGAGACTTTTGAAACGAATAAAGCATAATTTATGCATGCATTTAGGTTGCATTGATATAATAAATATTATTTCCAAGAAATATTCTTTTTCTAAATCGAATGATTTATTTGTTCTTTTTTTGAAACTCATAAAAGGAAATACATTACGACAATGCCAATTCCTTAAGAAGACATATCACATTGATCAATATGATCGTCAAAAAACAATTTACTTTTAGCCTAATCTAAAATTAGAAAATTATGAACATCGGAAAAACGACACATTATGTAATACAGTAAAAAAGTAATAACTTATTGTAACAATGATTTTTTTTTTTATTTTTTTGTTGATCTAAAAATAATCCTTTCAAAATCAACGAAGAAAAAAATATATATATATAAAGCGATGGATTTCGAAAGATTTTTTGTTCAGAAAACATTCATTAGATAAATATAAGATTTTGCATAAAATTTACATAAACATAGATATTATCATATTAGAAAATATAGATTTCAATAATTCATAAACGTGTATAGAGCGTAAATCATCACCGTACGAAAATGTCATTAGAATCTCAATCTAGAATTTTCACAAAATCAAATCTGGTTTATATACCTTTGTCTATAACAACCGCCCATACATTAAATTTCATCATTAATTCACCTTTATCAACATGGCAAGAATTTCCACCAAAATTACCTGATTCAATTCATTTATCAATATGGTTTATTCCATTGTTATTATTCATATCACTTACATTTGAACCAATTAGAACAAGAAAACGTTTTTACACTTTTTTTTTTTTTTTTTTTTAAAACTGTAATGCATCTTTATTAGGATTTATAGTCAAGTAACTTATCCTAAATTACAAGATACTTAGAGCCGACCGTGCTAAACACGTGACAACCCTATAACAGAGTAATCGAACAAAACAAAAAGAAACATTACAGAAAATTAATAAAATAAATATACTACCTGAAAATAAAATGCCTAAAACTAGCAAACTATACTATTTGTGAAACCTAACTATTTGAATTCTAAATTTTAAAGTGTAGGATTAAAGATGAAATGTGTAATGATGTTCAGGTCTGCCATGTGCAGCTTCAAAAGACGAGTCCCAACGGTCCCACACCCAAACAGTTCATTCCACCAAATCCCCCTTATACCTACAAAAAAAATAAAAGTTAGTATTCTGAACTAAATTGAACAAGTTGAAATAAAATACATTTTTGTTGTGAATTTTTGTTATCGGAATCTTTTTTACGTGAATCACGTGACTTCGATTAAAATATAATTCATTTCTCCTCGTAAGTCTCTTCCTTCTCTCTTCACTTCTTGTTATTCTTCTTTTTCTTTTTCTTTCCACTTTTCTTCTTTGATGGTGATGCTTCAGGTTCTACCTCTTTTTCCTCTATCTCTTCCTCTTCTGTATCTTCTTCAATTCCGTAAATTGCCGATGGTGAAAAAGAAATCAATTGCTCTCTTTGCCTCTTCTCCTTATACATTTCATTGAAAGCTTTGCTTCTTTCTTCTTCATCTTCTATCTCGCTCCATTTACTTGGCGATTCCAGAATTGGTCTCTTTTCTCCAATTTTCTTTTCGTCTTGGTATCGATTTTCATTCTCCAATCTTTGTTTAAAATTATCGTTCATGGTTGTATATTCCTGGAATATTTTCGTTTGTTCCGCTAAACTGATAATTCTTTGTCCTAAATGGAAGAAATTGTTTCTCTCCATTGCCCAATCTTTGGCTTTCTCCATTGAATCAATCTTATTCTCCTTGCTCACTAAACGCAGGGCCTCTGTATTGATTCTTTCCCATTCCATTGCGTTGGACAGTTGATCGAAGACATCTTTCACTTCCATTAATTTGTCGATTAGACTACCATTGTGGGTTGATTCTTGATACTGAACATATTTGATTTTATTTGTTGTTCTGTAATCTTTTATGATATCAACCGCTTCTTCAGGCACTACGTTATCTTTCTTCAGTTGTTGCCCTTTGTTTTCTGAAGTGTCATTATGATCTGGAGTATTCTCTTCTCCTACTCTCCATTTTTTAATCATCTCGACAACTTCGTTTTCGTCTGGCGTCTTGCTTATCCTTAGTGGCTTTTCTTCCGCTTTTGATGGATGTAATAAGCTTTCTTGTCGTGAGGCGAAGTTCCCTAATTCTCTATAAATTCTCTCCAGTGGTGTGATAGGTGTCTTCGGTTCACTTGCCAGCCGTAAAGGTGATCTTGTCCTATTTTCCCTATTTTCTGTAGCTATAACCTTTTCTTGTACTATCTTCTCTTGTACTTTTGTCGCTCTTGTCTTAGCATCACCGTCTTTGTATATCGTCTTCTTGTTTCTCACAAGCCAAACTCTATTAATATCTCCCTGTGTGCATGAATCCTCCACTGCTTCTTCCATTTCTTTGAGGTTCCTAAAATATCCAATCACTTTCCAATTTTTTGTGATTTTGATAATTTTAATGAAAGCCGTCTTGGAAGTTTGTTGCAGTTTTTTCGTAAAGCCGTATGTGTTTCCCTTCTTTATGGATTCCATTTCTTCGTTAGTTAGGTCTCTCACAGTCTGCCATTGATCCCGCTCTTGTCGTCCTTTCAAACCTAGTTTTGCGTCATACCATCTGATAAAGTTTTTGCTAATACAAATACCGAAATGTCCATCCAAGAACGTTTTTTCAAAGTTTTCGTTCAAAGCGATTTTTGCCTTAACGGTTTTGTATTTGTATTGACCTCGAATTTGCAGTCTATAAACCATTCCTAACTTCATCAGATTAGTTCTTACATCGTCTTCACTCCAATATTTTGGTATATCGTAGAAAAATATGTCACGTGCCTCCTTGGCCTGCTGATCATTACTAACATTTTCGGGTAAAACTGGTATCTCTAAAATTTCTTCCCGTTTTCTCCTATTTGATGTTGATCTTCCTTTTTTTGATTTCTTCAGCTGATCGAATTCTTTGTTAACGCCAGTTTTAACCTTTTTTAGTTCTGATCTCGTTTTCTCTACTTCTTGCGAAATTTTCCTTATTTGCTCATTTTTCTGCGATATTATTCATTCTTGTGTTTTCTCCTACTTGCCTTTCTTGTCCATCATGTGATCTTGCCTCCGCAGCTCTTCTCGCAACTTTGAATTTTCCCATGAGAGTCTTTTTATTTCGTCTATATAGACGTCGAAAGACGTTGCTGTACACTTTAAAACTATTTCTTGTATAGTCTCTTTTTTCGTACAGCGTCATTCCGTATCGACTCCAGGAAGTTCTGTTCAGTTTTGCTGAGACCGCCGTCTCTTGGTACTCTTTCTTGGCTTTTTGCTGTGGTCCTTGAGTTCGCACTGAAAATATTTTTTGTTTCTTTTAGAAACCTATATCTATATTCTGTAAATTTGTATGCTGACTCCATTTTTGAGGTTTTTTATTTGGATTTTATTAATAAAAAAAACTCGTAAAAGACGTTTTTCCTTCCACAAAAAATTTGGGCAGAATGATCGTCAGAAAGAGTCACCTTTCCTTTTATCAATCACGTTTTTACACTTTATTATCTCTAGCGCTAATATATTTATCAATCCCAATTAGTTTTCGTGAGGGAAATTATCCGATTAAACTTCAAAATGATTTGGTTGGTCGTAGTGCAGTTTTTGGGATGAAAATGTTACTATTCTTAAAATTGAATAGATCATACAATAATCCTAAAAATCAAAAAGAATTCAAATCATATCTTTGGTCATTATTTAATTGGAGTTTTGATTCTTATATAATTCCTCCAAAATCGGATGATCCTTTGATTATTAAATCTCCTACAACTTCACAAATTAACGGAAAGTTGATCAGCCGCTTCATAATTACTTTTGTAAAATGGTTAATTTATGAACTTATCACATAAGTATGTAGTAGAAATACCAGAAAAGGCTTATCAAGTTCGCTTAATTGAATTTATTACAAAAGGAATCCCTGCCATTACAATGTCTTCAATTTTACATTACTTGAATATCACTTTATCTATATACTTGTTGCTTTCATTACTTTATGATGTTTTCACTATTATTAACGCAATTTTCTTTCGTCTTTTCTTTCATCCCACATCGGAAAATAACAATCACAAATCTATTTTGATTAAATCCGGTTTTCTTACTCCTTCAGAATACGTTTCTTTAAAAGAATGGATGATTACATTCATATTCAATACAAAACATTTATTTAACGAGCCATGGATAGCATCAAGTCCTCGTGATTTTTGGTCTACTCGTTGGCAATTGATGTTTAGCGAAATTTTTAAAGAATTAGGTTACTTACCTGTCAGAAATTTTCTCTCTTCATTCGTTCCAAGGAAATTTGCAAATATGATGGGTGTACTTGATGCTTTATGTTTTAGTAGTTTATTTCATGAATACCTTATTATTGGACAATTTAATATTTGGACGGGTGAACAATTCTTTTTCTTTATGATTCATGGAGTAATAATAATTTTATGGGAAGCTGTGTTTGGCTATGAGAAAAAAAATGAGATTACAAAATGTAAAAGATTTTTAAAATGGGGTTTGTTATTAATTATTAATTTAATATTTATACCAGCATTTATTGAACCTTTGATAAGAAAACGTGAGAATTTTCTTCTTCGATCATATTTTTCTAATCAATGAAATTATTTTAAATTTTTGTAACATTTTATATTATTTTAACATAAATAAATAGATTAAATTTTCTTCATTAAAATATAAATTCGTGACGTAATATCAGATATCAAAATGTCAAAAATAAAAAAAAGTAGTTATGTTATAAAGTTTACGTCTAATATGTCACATAATTAAAATTAAAAATAATATAAATATATGGTATAATTAAATAATAGATAAATTCCCATCTAATTAATTTTTTTTTTTTTTTTAAAGATTAGTACCCAAATTTAACGTTTCGGATAGAATATTTAATTCATAAATTTATTCCGATATCCCATATTAGGGACCGTTGATCTTTTGCCCAAAATTTGCACCAAAGTTGATTGACTTTATATGAATATAAGCAAACCTATCATCTCTAAATATTCAAAAATATCGTTTAAGCCATCAGTAGGAAGTAGAGGTATGGTTTCAATATGACAAAGAAAGGTTTTAAATTCTTAAACAAGACGGAAATGTACTTAAGTGTTTTAATTGTGTACAGTATAAAGTCGACTTTGTTAACTTTTAAATTAATTATGCGTAAATAAGTTATTGCAGGTCTGAGTGGTCGTCAATTAGGAATACATTTAATTATTCAATGTTTAATACGGTCATATTAAATAATGTTGTCATATGTAACCACGTGGCACAATTATACTTGCCGCCCATATAAATGGGATTGGGAGAATCCCATATCCCATCCCACCCATATCCCATCCCATATCCCATTTATCCCATCCCATTTGTCATAATCCCATTCCAATCCCAAATCCCAATCCCATTCCAATCCCATATCCCATATCCCATCCCATATCCCATTAATCTTATACATGTATATTGTGTAACCTTACTCCCATTGGTCTATCTATCACGTGATGTTACACAAAATTCCAAAAAAGGAAATTTTTCTTCCCACGGGAGATTTGGTTTCACAAGCATTCCGAAAAAGGAATTTTTATGCCGATCATATAATTCCGGCCAGAATTACAGCTCTAGTATTACGGTCCTTTTTCAAATTAGTTTTTTGCGATTTTCTCAATATCCAGTGATCCAATTTTGATAAACTTTTTTTTAATTTGTAGCTAATATTAAGC